AGCATAGCAGTTGGAAGAGTCATTGAAGCCAAGAAGGCTACGCGTCTCCTGTTACGTTTAAGCTGGTAGTCGCACCAAGTGCTCCCACATGCCTTGTTGCAACCTTGCTTGATGCAAGAACATGGCTTGGCAGAATGAGGTTTTGTTTCAGCATGAACGCATGCAGACCTCCATAAAGCCCTTCATAGTCCTTATTTTCATATTGTGTGATATATATATATATATAAAATTACCACCCCATATGATTCTTATATTCCCCCTATACATATGACTTGAATATAAACATGTCGTCTTTGGCATAGGTTAGCAATTACGCTACCTTTCCGCCCCACACTGTACCTGGATGTGCAGGCATATCAGCAGAAAGAAAGCGACGCAAGAGGCGACGTGCTTGTGCACAAGTTCACTGGGATATTCCTAGGAACAGGTTTTATTCATCATGGACTATCATTCCCTCGCAATCCTTATAAAGCTATAAGAACTCAATGTGTATAGGGCCCCTGAGTCCTAAATCCTAAGCACCGAATAGTACTTTCCATTTTGATTTCCCTCAACTTTTATTGGGCCTAAACCCTAAACAGGTGTCATTTTCTTTTCCACTGTTCCTAGATGTCCTACATAATCCCTACATAATTCCTGCATGATCCCTATATATCGCTAGATAAACCTTACACATCCCTAGAAAACCCTTCTATATATATCCCTGTCAATGCATAAGCCCAAAAGCCTAAACCCCTAACCCTAAACCCTAAACTCCAAACCCTAACCCCCCCCAAAACCTAAACCTGAAACATCTCTTACCTTGATAATTTACACGTTATTTGATCCGCGGGCGAAGGTCATTTTGTTGTGGGCAGGGTCTCTTTTTTCTCGTGGGCTAGGTCATGTTTTTGGTGGGCAAGCAAAATTCTGTTTCGTGGCAAGGTCATTTCTTTGTTGGGCGAGGTCTTTTTTGGTGGGCAACGTCATGGGCGTAATCAAGGTGACCGTGCCCACCAAAAATAACTTTACCCACCAAAACCAGTTCTTGTCCACGGAAAAGCTTGACCTTGCACACTGCCCACCAGATTGACGACCTTGCTCACCAGATTGGTGACCTTCGCCCGCGACATGTATGAACTGAACTCCTGAGCCCTAAACCTCAAACCCTAAACCCTTAACGCCAAACGCTAAACCGTAAACCCCTGAACCCTAAATCCAAAGCCCTAAACCCTACAACTCTAAACCCTAAAACCCTAAACCCTATTCCCAAAACCTTAAACCCCAAACCCAAAGCCCTGAACCGCTTGTTTCAGGAGCGCAGCTCTGAGCCTGCGAGCCAAAACGCAGTGTCAGAAAAAAAGTCGGCGAAGCTTTGCCAAGTCTGGGATTAGGGTTTAAGGTTTTGGGAATAGGGTTTAGGGTTTAGGGTTTAAGGTTTTGGGAATAGGGTTTATTGGGTTATATGAACATACAAGGTATAGTACTACGGTAGTGTAGCAGTGAGATAATGTAACAGTATCATCATGTAGCAGCATCAAACCCTAAACCCTAAACCCTATACTCTAAACCCTAAACCCTACACCCGAAACCCTAAACCCTAAGCCCTAAACTGTTTCTCTGCCGATCGGCCAGGTCTGTGATTTCGTGGATGGGACCCAGCTAGTCCGCCGCTGTGAGGATTTGTCGGAAGGGATTGGCGCTGATTGACTGTACCCCTTTCTGGGGGTTATCTAAATTCCTTAACGGGGGAAAATAAGGTTTAGGGTTTAGGGTTCTAACATGAGCCAGGACTATAGTCAATAATGGAGAATCAAATGGAAAAGAACATGGAAAATGAAATGGACACTGTTATATATAATGGGTTCATATAATAGGATAATATGAGCTATAGAAGAAACTCCTTGAGGGGGGTTATATAGGGGATTATATAGGGGACTCCTAGAAAGGTTCTTAAGGGGGATAGTAGGAGTTTAGACTATGGCTCATATGGACCTCTGCATCCTTGTATGATCCTATACAACCTTATATACTTATATACCCCAGATAATCCCGGTGTAAGTCCTACCACCAAAGGAATGGGTTGGCGAAGGAAGTGGAGGCCCAAAAATCCTGAACCGTAAACCCTGAACCCGAGACTGCACCCACGACATGTTAAAGAATTGGGATGCGCATGGCAGCCGTAAAACCCCTAAATCCTAAACTTTGTGAAGGACTTGGAAGCCCAAGAACCCATCTCCCCCGTCTTCATTCAAGCTGTCGGCTCCTCAGAGAGCCAGACGTGCAGTGCAAGGCCACACTTTGTGCTCCAGCTTGCAAGAGTTCGGGGTTGAGGCTTTAGGGTTTAGGGTTGGGGTTGTATAGGGTACATAGGGATATCTAACCCATCCAAAAATGGAGAATCAAATGAACAAGGCAATAGAACATGCCATGAAATCTGAAATATTTCTACGGGATTATAATTATACTGTACTGTCCTTAGGAATTATCTTTAATTTTCATTATGGTATAATCCCGAGAAATATTAAACAAATAGTTTTTTTTTATTATAGGTCTAAGGAAACTACAGTATAAGGATGAGAAACGGACAATGACCTGGAAACTGATGTGTGTAAAGGGGACTGTCAGGATAAGAACATGAGTTTTGTTCTAAACCCCAAAACCTAAACCATGAACCCTACACCCTAAACCAGGATGTGGACGAACGTCAGTTCCTGGATGATGACGCAGAAGCGGGGGAGTGGAAGTGCGGGGCCTTTCATTGGAAATAGTGGGGTTTAGGGTTTAGGCTTCAGGGGTCTTCTGAAACAGTGATGATAGGGGGGTAGGAGTACATAGGATTATGTAGGGTTAGATAGGATATAGAGCGCCGCATGGGGGTAATGGAAAAGAGGACGAAGGCTACCAAGTGTTTTTTCTGGACATAAGGATATATGGGTATTTAGGGGAATCATGGAGGATTCGACCGGAAAAGTAAATGGATAATGAAATGGAAGCTAGGTTTCAGTAGGCTTCACTTCACATGACACCTGAAAAGCTAAGTTTCCTGTCCTTCTTCGATTTTCTTTTCCATATGATTCTCCATAATCGCTTGATCCAGTGGGCATCCTCTTCCATTTTGTCCGCAAGAGCCCCTAAACCCTAAATCCTAAACCCTAAACCCTAAACCCCGCAGCCCTACCGAGGTACGTGGTTCTAGATCCAAAAGGAGTCACGCTCCGAAGTCGACCGACGCGTGGGACACGGCATGCTGCAACTCTGCCATTTCTGGGTTGCTGATAAGGAACTTAATATAAGTCTCCATATCAAGGGAAAATATCAAGTGTTATATATATACACATATATACCCGTAATGGTAACTCAAAACTCAATCTAAGTTCCTTAACCCGAAGCCCTAAACCCCCCTAACCCCCCCCTACACCCTGTATATCCTATATACCGTATATACCCATGATGGAAACTTAGTTTAAGTTCATCAAGCCTAAACCGCCCAACCCCCCCCTAAACCCTATATACCCTCTATACCCATGATAGAAACTTAGTTTAAGTTCCTCAACAGCAACCCAGACTTTTTTGAGGGGAGAAGCCGGATGCGGGGAAGCAAGGTATGACAAAGCAGCAAAGCTAAAAGCTCGACTGGAAGAAGGGGAGGCAACCGGGGTGCAGGGGCTTGGTGGTTTAGGGTTTAGGGTCTTGGGGTTTGGGGTTTTAGGGTTTAGGATTTAGGGGTTAGGCATCTTGGGGTTTAGGGTCTAGGCAAGCCACGAGTAGGTCTGGACATAGTTTTTGATTCTTATATGACCTGTTCTCCCTATATAATCCTTTTAATAAGCCATTAAAAACACTATCTTTGTATAGGGCCCCCAAACCTACCCGAGTAAACTCCAAACCCCAGAATCCCAGCTGCCATGTAATTTTCCATGGTTTTTTCCATTTGATTTTCCGTTATTGGGGTAAGATCCCTGAAGTCCGAACCCCGAAAACCTTAAACCTGAAACCTCTTGCTTGTGCGTGGGGTCCGATTGCCTTCGCGGGCTTCCCTTGCCAGCCAGGTCGTGGAAGTGCTTGAGCGGCAGGAAGGCTCAGACACTGCCCCCACCTCAGAACGTACGCAGTTTAGAGTTTCGATCTTAGGGTTCATAGGTTTAGGGTTTAAGGCCTAAGTCCTAAACCCTAAATGTGAGTAGTGCTTAATTTCGGGATCCTACGGCACCCAATATAGAGTAGGATTCTAGCCTCCCTTTTTGTTATAGCATTTTGTGAGAACGATACTCGCATAATCTTGCTAGGCTTGACCGCCAATAAATGATACTTACATGCAAACGGGGCATTGCATTGGCCTAAACCCTAAACCCAAAAACACTAAACCCAAAAACACTAAACCCTAAAACCCTAAAGCCTAAAGCCCTAAACCCTAAAGCCCTAAAACCCTAAACCCTAACCCCAAGCCCTAAAACCCTAAATTCCCGTCAGACACTGAAGAAGCACGTCAGTAGTATTTTATTTGGGGATAGTATGGTACCCAATATAGAGCAAGATTCTATCCTCCTTTTGGGGTATAGTATTTTATATAAGGAATATAATCTTGCTAGGTTCAACCACCAAAAAACACTACTCACGTCAGCCCTTACGGCCGTACTGGGTGAGACGATGAGAGGAGCCCATGGTGTAAGGTTGAAACCATAAGCCCCTAGTATGGTATAGGGTTTAGGGTTTAGGGTTCAGGGTTCAAGGGTTATAGGGTTTCAGGGTCTAGGGTGTAGGGTTCAGGGATATGGGCCCGTAACCCTGGTATCCTGATATACCTACTCTATACCCTCTATGTACCCTTAAAGGTCCCTTGAATCCCTCTAAAAGGCCTAAGCGCCCATATTAGGGGCCCATCCTTCAAACCTTAGATATGGGGAGTGGACGTATAGAGCCCNNCCCTCCGGGCTCCTCCCGTACATCGAGAGGTACAGCTCTGCCTCCAGCCACCGCAGTAGGCCAAATCTTCAATGTACCGCTGAACACTGAACACTAAACCCTAAACATGATTCCCCCTTTCCTAAACCCTAAAAACTTAAAACCCTAAACCCTAACTCCTGAAAACCCTAAGCCTTAAACTCCTAAACCCTAAGCCCTACCTAAACCCTAAAACTTAAAACCCGACACCCTACACCCTGAACCCTAAATCCTAAATCCTGCAAACCCTACATTATCCCTTTGAAACTTCTATATAACCCCAATATAACCCCTATATTCAACCCTGTAGTGAGTAAATCCTAAACCCGAAACCCGAAACCTTAAACCCTAAATCCTGAAACCCTAAACCCTAGACCCTAAACCCTAAAGCCTAAACCCGAAACTGAAAAAATCCTGAACCCTAAACCCTAAACCCTAAATTGAAAACACCCTAAACCCTGAACCCTAAATTCAAAAACCTCCTAAAGCCTAAAACCCCTAAACCCTAAATCCTAAACCCTAAGCCCGGTAGTGAGTGTAGTGGTTTGCTCCAGTCTAACAGATGCAAGGTATTCCTCAGGGTGGAGGGGCGCGAAGGGCCATCCTGCCATGATTTCCGTGGCGAAACGCGGCTTGTGGTTTTAGGGTTTTAGGATTTAGGGGTTTGGGGTTTTAGGGTTTTAGGGGTTTAGGGCTTTAGGGTCTAGGGTTTGGGGTTGAGTGCAAGATAGTGGAAGGGCTGGTGGCTAGTGGATAGGGGGAAACAGTCTCTAAAGGACCCTTAAAAGCTCGAAACCCTAAACCCTAAACCCTAAAATCCTAAACCCTACGCCAAACCCTAAAACCCTAAACCAGTATGAGTGGACGAACTGGTAGCTGGCAGGTTTACCGGCTGGGTGTTCACAACACAGCCAGGCCCTGCACCGTTTCTTAGGCCGGGGGGGACCAACTGGAGGGTCAGGGAGACTCGAGAAGTATACCTGTGATTGGGTTTAGGGTTTAGGGCTTAGGGTTTAAGGTTTAGGGTTCAGGGACGTGAAGCTCCTATAGCTCAAATAATCGCAGGAGTTATTCCAATTCTTAACTTACTTCCTAAGTGTCCCTGACCCTCCAAGCAGCGACCAAACATGAGTTTTTTCGCAGCCGTTGTTGTGATCCAGGCTCTTGGAAGTGGAGGTCAAGAAGTGCAGCTTGTGCCTGGGACAGAATACAATAAGACGAGGAGTGGAAATCGTGGAGAATCAGATAGACAAGAAGAGGGCAAATGACCTGGAAGCTACTTTGGGGTTTAGGGTTTTAGGAGAATGGGGAATCTAATGGAAAATTACATAGAAAAGAAATGCGCACTGGATTGCATGCAGGGGTTGTGGGGGCTAGAGATTGTCA